GTGCCAAATCCAATCCAGACTGCCAAAACAGCTGGTGTGCCTTTTGCCTCTGAATTTGGCTGTTAAACTCCATTGTTCCATAAAATCAGACAGCTTGTCTAAAATGGTAGGTAATGTCCTATCCAAGGAAAAAATTTGTTCCTTAGAAAAATCCAGAAGTAGGCCTAAAATAATCAAAGCCTACCTGGCAAAGACACAGCCCCTAAATTCAAACTATCTCTTTGGTTTAGCAATGGCCTACAGTCTCTTGCTCTACAGGGACTGTTCCAGATGTGTACAAAGGGTTAGGATCTGCTATGTTTGCTTTCTTTTAAATCTTCATCCAGTCTCATTCCTAGGTAGTGGATAAGTCTGTTAGTTTCAAAATACAGTTCACATCTTAACTCAATTAGCTTCCTTTTGGTTTTATTAGGGAACAGCACCTTGATATTTTTGTCAGTAGGGACAAGTGTCCATTTTCAACGGCTTCATCAAAATTCTGTCATCTTACATAATTTTCTACATGTGGTGCTGCTGGGCATGGATCTTTTATAACTTCCCACTTCCTTTTTGGTGACCTTGATATATTCCCTAACTCTCTACAGAGGTAGACGTCACTTGGCAATATGACTGCAAGAGATTAGAGAGGGTTAGAGATGGGTTTTAAGGTTCTTCATGAAAGAAGTTTGCACTAATGTTTTCCATTGTCTCATTTAACTTGCATGCTCGCAGACCACCCACATATTCATTCCTGAATGACTGAACAAGACTTTCATACGGTCAGAAGACACCAAGCTTGTTCTGATGCTGGGAGCCTTGCTTAGGTGCTATTTGCTGCTTTGGGAGATGGTGGCTTCAGACTGACCAAGTTGTAATGGAAGAGTAAGGTGTGGTTGGGACCTACAGCAAAACCTGGTGCAAAAGGCAATGACTCTTGGCTGGGCGCAGTGGCTCACGCCTGTAATCTCAGCACTTTGGGAGGCTAAGGCGGGTGGATCACCTGAGGTCAGGAGTTCGAGACCAGCCTGGCCAACATGGCGAAACCCCATCTCTACTAAAAATACAAAAATTAGCTGGGCATGGTGGCTGGTGCCTGTAATCCCAGCTACTCGGGAGGGTGAGGCAGGAGAATCGCTTGAACCCAGAAGGCGGAGGTTGCAGTGAGCCAAGATCGTGCCACTGTACTCCAGCCCTGGTAACAAGAGCGAAACTCCACCTCAAATAAAAAGGCAATGACTCTCAAACTTCAGTGTGCAGCAGTCATATGAGCTTGTTAAAAATTAGACACCTACGCTGAGATTCTGAGTCAGCTAAATCTGGGCGATGGCCTAGACATCTGCATTTGTAATTAGCACAGCCCACCCCTTACACTCTACGTAGGCAGTCTTCCACCTTCAGCTTTCAGAAACACATAGAACAGTGACAATGCACTTATCTTTGGAGGAGAAAATCACATACATACACACACACCCACCCCCCTCCAACGCAGCAGGCACACTGCCCCAGCGTAACAGTCACCCGTGAACAGCAACTCCTGCTCACTAAAGACCTGAGGAAACATATATGGGTCTGACCACACGTGAACATTCGTCATGAACAGCTTTCCCCACTTAGTTCTTTTGTTCAGAGTCCACATGTCATCTATTCTAATACACACAAAATAAAGACAACATTGCTGAACTCAGTGGATTTTTAAGGTAAGCAATTATTTTATTTCCTTGGCCTGATGGCATTGACTTCATTATACAAGAACTTGCAGCTGACAGAACTGACACAAAGATTTCCCCCAAGAGGAAGGACCCTTTTCATTAGCAGAGATGAATTGAAATGTCATGTCTGAGTGCAATTCCTGCTTCCCACTCCCACCCCACAAAACCCCAGAAGTGAAAATAAATCAATAAAATCCCCATGTTTTACTAAAGTCATCCCTCCAAACCTTTCTAACTAGCAGCTGCAGTGGATGATAACCAAGGAGGGAAGCAGCTGGCCATCACATAGCATTCCTGTGCGTGTGAGCCTGAAGGGACAGCAGCATGGGAGCAAGAATCCTGAATGAGAGGTGTATGTAATTACCTTACTTCACACTCGCTCCCTCCCTACATAAGACATCTCTGTCCTGATACATGGAAAATACTAGAGGAGATGCTAAGAGTGGTTTTAGTCTATAACTGGAAATGCCTGAGACTTAAATTCCAAGGTAGGGGTGAGATAAGGGGCACCAGAGAGAAAGAACAGGTTAGACAGAGATGCTCAATAGTCTTGTCAATTCCAGTTTAATGCTATTTAATAACAAAATGATCTTCTTAATCATAACCACCTTTATGTCCAACCCCTATTTTCCAAAGGTAAGAGATCGCTGTCTAAATTTCTGGGTTGTGGTCTACTACCACCCCTGGGGCGGTACTGCGATGTCTGAGTGAGACTGCAACTGGGATGGGAGAAAAGAAGCGTGAGACAGGAAAGAACAGGGGCCACAATGCATCAATTACAGTGGGTCTCTTTTGGTCCCCAGGTATGGTCCACTACCACAAGTCCCCTTTCCCTACCTGTCCTGTGCAAATGTCAAAAATAGAATCGCTGCCCAAAGAGAAGGGAGCACAGGGACTTGCTGCTGGACTACCATCGTCTCTGGCCCCAACTTGTCCACCTCCGGACCCTTCTATGAAACTGCACAAAAATTACATCTCAGGAATGCTGTGAAATTACATCATCCGTATTCCTCTACCAAAGCCAACCCAACAGCTCTGTCCTGACATGCTTTCTCTCTGGGCCGAGGAAGCAGCAAAAAATATCAATTGAGCATGTGAAAATATGATGACGGTGTGTGCGGTGTAATGTTTCTAGATGTCTTCACCTTCCGTCTCCTCGCGGTGGGAGTCACCCTCTTTCCCCAAGTCGCACGCACACCCCTCCCCTACCCCCAAGTCCAGGTGCTCCCATCTGCTGGGCTTCCAACCACTCATTTCCCATAGACACTCTCATCACTGTAGGCCACATACAGAAAATAGTCTTCCTCATGATTGTCCTAGGGGAAGAGGTAAGACAACAGTTTAGAAAACATATTCATTCATTAGCTCTAAGATGCTAAGCCTCACACAACCTTGTAAAGCAGGTATGGAAGGTATCGTTCGTCCCCATTTAAAAGAGGAGCAAAGAATCAGGAGAAGTGGTTGGAATTACACTTTGAGCTCTGAGTTCACAAACAAAAATCCTTCACTGAAAACATATTACACATAGGTATCAGGGATATGAAGATGACTGGGGCACAGTACTCACTCTTAAAGAGCTCAGTCCTAGCAAGGGGAACACAGATACCACAGATGGGATATATAAGGGGCAGATACTAACAGGGAATATATGCTATGCAATAAAAGTTAGATTCAGGATTATTATAAATTTATGTAATCCATTAATAGGGCATAATGAGAAGGAAGCGTCTTATGCAAAATACTGCAAAAAATAATAGTTACAATCCTAGGTTATATTTTTAGTAATAATAAAGTCCTTTACTATAGTTTCTCTAAATTCTGACACTTCCAATTAAACAAAATCACATAAAAATTATTCCTCCTCAGTTTATCTGTTAAGACAAATGAATCCATTTACAGACTTTGCCTTAATTTTATATTTCATTTGATCTGATTCATTGTGCCCAGATAATGTGGAATCTGTTTCACAGTTTTCATTTTGTTCTAAGAAGAAGTTTCCCCCTGTTTAGATCAATGTGTTTGTCTCAAGCCAAACTTCAGAGTTCACAGAGGAAGCTGACTGTAGCGGAGGCTGGCCTCAGAGTTAGAAGCTGGCTTTACTATTATGTGCTTTCTCAATCTGTTGCTAAATGGGAGTAAAATAATGAACTGGATTCTGAATGCATTACAAATTACAGGCTACCAACAAGAAGAGCAGGAACTGCGATGGGCTGATGCTTTGGAACTTTTGCTATCAGGAGTCACTTCCTGCTGTTTCAATAAACAATCCCGCATTAAACACTATAGTCAGACAAGACTGAGAAGAGATTTCAAAAGGATTAAATCTAGTAGAGTGCCTAATCCCTGAAAAACAAGTGGTATCTAATCTCTCAGAGCCTTACACTGCCATGTGTAAGAGGATCCGGATAAATAACACCTTCTGCCCCACTTCTCAGTTGTGTTATCAACATATACTAGAACAAGAGCTAGAGGATGCCAGACTGCCCTGGACGGCATCCAGTATTGTGCGGCTAGAACCATTACCTCATACAGTTGGCCCATGGTAGCACTGGTGGGAGGGATAGTGTTGTTGACAAAGAAGAATAAGGCGTCCTCAGGTCTCAGGTGGATTCTCTTCCGGATTAAGAAGTAGAACTGGCCAACTGGATGATGGAAGAAAAAGGCAGACAAGAAAGGAAGAAAACAAGGAATTAGTAGAATGGTAAGTCCTGGAAAAAAATTCAATTGCATTTTTTCCCCTTAAGAGTCAGTACCAGTTTTATATACCACCTGAGAAGAGCCAAATACTATCCTGGAGCTTTCAAAATAAAAAGGGAAACTCAGAAGCCCGTACAGTCCCTGACATGCCATAGTGGACTTTATTCCTCCTTTCCCCTCTTATTCAATCTCAGACCTCATGTTAGCATATCCACTCAAAGCCTGAGGACTACGCTGAAGGAATACCACGTGCATCCAGACCAAAACATTCCCATCACTGTCTAAACCTGACTTGAAACACTTTCCATCCCCAGACCCACCCTAAGAAAAGCTTGGCAATGAAAGGGGTCCACTGGACACTGGTCATCTTAGCACAGTCACTCAACTCAGTGTTGGGGCATTAAATAAGGTTCAATGCTTTGCCTTTACCTGAGAATACTGAAAATTTTCTAGATGGCTGATATTCAAACCTGTTAACTCTGAAGCAAATCAACAAAATCTTTCCAGTGTCTCCTGGATGCAGTGTGTATTCCATTAAGGCTCAAGATGAAGACTGAATATATGTCTTATAATCCCAAACAAAATCTACAAAACTTATTTCAAAAAAAAGGTAGCTTAAGAAGATGTAATCAGGAAACTCTAAAGCATAATCCTCTCAAGAAACCAGACTGGTTTTCTTTTTGGAACAAATTGACATCACAATTAACAAAGCTGAATTTTTTTTTTTTTTTTTTTGAGGCGGAGCGTCACTGTGTCACCCAGGCTGGAGCGCAATGGCACAATATCGGCTCACTGCAACCTCTGCCTCCAAGGTTCAAGCAATTCTCCAGCCTCAGCCTCCTGAGTAGCTGAGATTACAGGCGCCCGTCACCACATCCAGCTAATTTCTGTATTTTTAATGAAGATAGGGTTTCACCATGTTGGCCAGTCTGGTCTCAAACTCCTGACCTCAGGTGATCTGCCCACTTCCGCCTCCCAAAGCGTTGGGATTACAGGCGTGAGCCCCATGTCCGGCCACAAAGCTAAATTTTATTTTTTTGAGACAGGGTCTCACTCTGTCACTGAGACTGGAGTGCAGTGGCACGATCTCAGCTCATAGCAACCTCTGCCTCCCAGGCTCAAGTGATTCTCCTGCCTCAGCCTCCCAAGCAGCTGGGATAAGAGGCGCCTGCCACCAGGTCTGGCTAATTTTTTTGTATTTTTAGTAGGGATGGGTTTTCACCATGTTGGCCAGGCTGGTCTTGAACTCCTGACCTCAAATGATCCACCGGTCTTGGCCTCCCAAAGGGCTGGGATTACAGGTGTGAGCCACCATACCCAGCCAAAGCTGAATTTTAAAATTGGTTTAGGCCCAGCACGGTGGCTCACGCCTGTAATCCCAGCACTTTGGGAGGCCGAGGCGGGTGGATCACCTGAGGTCAGGAGTTCAAGACCAGCCTGGCCAACATGGTGAAACCCTGTCTCTACTAAAAATACAAAAAAAATCAGCCAGGCGTGGTGGCAGGTGCCTGCAATCCCAGCTACTTGGCAGGCTGAGGCAGGAGAATCACTTGAACCCAGGAGATGGGAGGGTGCAGTGAACTGAGATCACACCACTGCACTCCAGCCGGGGCTACAAGAGCGAAACTCCATCTCAAAAATAATAATAATAATAAATTAATTAACTAAACAAAATAAAAATAAAAGGGGTTTAAATAATGGGCTTCTGATCCTTTCTTTCAATGTCTTATGCTTTGCTGTGTCAAAATCCAACAAGACATGGTGATGGGAAAGAACTACTGAGTCTTTTTTCTTTTTTTTTTGAGACAGAGTCTCACTCTGTCACCCAGGCTGGAATGCAATGGCGTGATCTCGGCTCACTGCAAGCTCCACCTCCTGGGTTCACACCGTTCTCCTGCCTCAGCCTCCCAAGTAGCTGGGACTACAAGGCACCCACCACCAAGCCCAGTTTATTTTTTGTATTTTTTTTAGGAGAGACGGATTTCCCCGTGTTAGCCAGGATGGTCTCGATCTCCTGACCTCATGATCTGCCCGCCTCAGCCTCCCAAAGTGCTGGGATTACAGGCGTGAGCCACTGTGCCCAGCCTGAGTCATTTTTTAATCAGATAACTCTGGGGCATCCCGCTTACTTCTTTCAAGTATGCACTGCCTCTCAATCTCACAATCTCATGCATATAATAAGGATCTGGAGAGCTCTGTCAGGGGAGGAAGGGTCAGGGGAGGCAAAGAGCATTACCGGTAAGGTCAGAGGGCACTAGGTACTTCCTCTTGTCCAGATCAGGCACCCTGGCTTTTGGAGCCTTCTCTACAATCACCTGCAAGGAGAGGAGGAGAGCAGGAATGAAAACTACAGCAGGCAATCTAGTATTTTTCCTTCCACACCCTAGAGTTGCCTAGTTACTACCGGAAATGAATCTGTCCAGGACACCTGTTGCATTTCTTATCCCCCCCAACCCCTGATAAAATTATATGAAAAAAAATGGGCTTCCTTAGTGAGGTTATAGCTGCATTACTAAAATAAAAATAAACTAGAGATTGTACATGATGAAAAGTAAAAAGAACTTTGATTTTAAGTAATTACAGGTTATCTGTAAGATCTACTATAGGACATATACCTACTGGTATTTATTTATTTATTATTTATCTTTGAGATGAAGTCTTGCTGTCGCCAAGGCTGGAGTACAGTGGCTCCATCTCAGCTCACTGCAACCTCCACCTCCTGGGTTCAAGCAATTCTCCTGCCTCAGCCTCCTGAGTAACTGGGATTACAGGCACACGCCACCACACCTGGCTAAGTATTTGTATTTTTAATAGAGATGTGGTTTCACCATGTTGGGCAGGCTGGTCTCGAACTCCTGACTTCAAGTGATCTGCCAGCCTTGGCCTCCCAAAGTGCTGGGATTACAGATGTGAGCCACCGTGCCTGGCCACCTTCTGGTATTTAATTAGAGCATCAAGAAAACTGCGTTTTCTCATACGATCCTGATCACCTGTAAGTTATTATTTCTTATAAATACGATTTATTAAAGGTACCAATAATGTGGTTTGAATCTTATACTTTGTCAAAATTTCCAAGAACTGTAAAGATTGTTCAAACACTATTAAATGGAAAAGAAACAGTGTTAAAACAAGTCTGACAATGACATCCTATAATACGATGTCAGTACAACAAGCCATTAATAGATACTGATTATGTTAGGACTTTAAGGGATTTTGAATGTCCACATTATATACTTCTATAATATTTCAAGTTGTATAAAGATCATGTATTTTTGTACTAGATCTATAAAAATATAAAAGTTTTTTTATACACTAAAACTTCCCAAACAGAAAATATCTATTGTAAAATCACGAGCTTTAGGCTTTAGATTGTTAGGTTTTTAAGGGATTTCTGTCTACATTATATTGAACTACATATATATAGTTCAAGTTGTATAAAAATCATGTATTTCTGTACTAGATATATACAAATTCAAAAGTTTTTTTTATACACTAAAACTTACCAAACAGAAAATATCTATTGTAAAATAATGAGCTTTAGACTTTTAGTTTAGAAAATATAATCACTGCTGGGCACAATGACTCACGCCTGCAATCCCAGCACTTTGGGAGTCTGAGGCAGGCGGATCACCTGAGCTCAGGAGTTCGAGACCAGCCTGACCAACACGGAGAAACCCCGTCTCTACTAAAAATACAAAATTAGCAGGGTGTGGTGCCACATGTCTGTAATCCCAGTTACTCAGGAAGGCTGAGGCAGGAGAATCGCATGAACCTGGGAGGTGGAGGTTGCGGTGAGCCAAGATCGGGCCACTACACTCCAGCCTGGGCAACAAGAGCAAAACTTGGTTTCAAAAAAAAAAAGAAAAGAAAATATAGTCATTTTAGTTAGAAGATAGGGGAAATGCAGAAAAAAAAGTGAAGTTGCAGGAAAAAAAAACACTGTACAAGTACTTCTAGTGGTTGTGTGATCTTCAACAGGTCACGTAACCTCTCTCTCAGCTTCAGCATTCCAGTGACTTTTTTTTTTGAGGTCCAGAGTCACATTTGTCCCCCAGGCTGGAGTGCAGTGCAACCTCCACCTCCCGGGTTCAAGCGATTCTCCTGCCTCAGCCTCGGGAGTAGCAGGGATTACAGGCGCATACTACCACACCTGGCTAATTTTTGTATTTTTTAGTAGTGATGGGGTTTCACCATGATGCCAGGCTGCTTTCGAACTCCTGACCTCAAGTGCTCCACCTCCCTCAGCCTCCCTAAGTACAGGGATTACAGGTGTCAGCCACCGTGCCCAGCCTGAAAACTTTCTAACACATCTTTAACAAAGTCATGCTATTAATATCATGTGAATGTGAGTAATAAATAAAAGTTTACTTGAAAATGCTTCATAAATTATAAAGAATTATCTAACATAATTAACTTGGGGGGGGAGTTTGAACCTTCTAAATTAAAAGGAACAGATTAAAATTAGTTGAAAAAAACAAAAACTTATGTTCTTGTAGAAAAAATCCTGAATCAGGAAGACCAGAGGGACATGATCACATTTTAAATTTAAAAATAAAAACTGAAATAGGGTAATGTAAGCCAGGAATTAAAAGGAAAAGGCAGAAAGAGGCTAACACCGTGCCCCAAAGGAACTCTGAGACCTAGCAGTAAGAGAGAAAAACCACAAAGGAAGACAGAAAAAGAAAGTGATAAAGCAGACCGCAATACCTGGAGGGAAGGCAGGGGTTTGGAGAGGAAGAAAAGGGGGAGGGGTAATTATTAAAGGATTGGTTTCCCAGAACCAAGGTTAAATTTCCAGGAATCCCAACTCTACTCCTCACTATGGTAGACCCTGGGCTAGATGCTTTGCCTCTTTGGGTCTCAGTTTTCCTCATTTGTAAAATGTGACTAATACTCAGCAGGGCTATGAATTTTTAAAATAGACAATCTGTTTCTAGCAGTCTTTTTGATATGTTGTATCTTTGAAGATAATTTCAAGATCCCACCAACCCCTCCTCTGTGAAGGCACAAGCACACCTCTTCTTTTCAACTGTTAGCTCTGAAGAAATACTGGTGGGACTAAACTCTGGTTATGCGAGCAGTCAGGATACGCCACTGCTTGAATTACACCAATGGTCAAGCTGGAATGGGCTTTAGGAACCACTACTATAACCCTCTTTTCTGTAAACAAGGCACTCTATCTAGCACAGCAAGATTAAAAGTTCTGCCCAAGGATGCAGTGAATTCCCCGAACTAGAACCAAATCAAGGAACCTGCGTCATAACTAGAAAGAAGGTCACAGACTGAGCACCTTGGGAGCAGCTCAGCACTGGTTAAAACATAACCCTAGGGAAGCGGAAATCTGAGTGACAGTCTTAATGGCTTAAAAATTATTACAGGAGTAAAACATTTAACACCAAACTATGAGCATGAAAAGAACAGAATGCACTGAAATACTGAGAATACACATAAGTATTTATCTATTTCCAATACTTAACAGTGTGAAGTCCACAGCACGTCATTAATTCTGGTTAATACAACTATATTAGAAACTGAGAAACAGTATGGCACGGAGGTTAAGGTCTCCGAGAGCTCCACAGTCCGTTAGACAGGGTTAGAATTCCGGCTCAACCACAGATCAGCATGTGAAACCTTTAGGAAGTTACCGCATTTCTTTGTGCTTTGAATACTCCGTCTGTAGAACGGGGATTATAATCGTGTAAAGATTAAGCGAATGATTACAGACTGAGTACTTATACTGCTACTGTAAACTATTAGTAAAACATGACTGTATTTTTTAAATATCATTGCTCGAAAGATTGGTATCACCAGAACTGGGCAAAATTTTCAGGTATCCAAGGTCCAGAAACCAGCAAAGTATTTTGTAAAGGATCCTTTACCGAGTAAGGGATTAGCTCACCCCTCTATAAACTGAAAACCCTTTGGTAATTCCTGAGGAATGGAAGAGCCCTAATGACTTTTTTTTTTTTTTTTTTTTTTTTAAGGAAAAGGGGTACAAGAGGTTTCTACTGCTGGGCTAAGGCCCTGCTGGCTTCTGGTAGCTATAAAACCACGAACGTTAGGTAAGGATTAGAGAAGAAACCCAGAGTGGCAGCGAGTCAAGAAAAGACATCAGATAACAGCAATTATTTTACCATGATGTGACATGTAATCCTGATGTTCCTACCTGAAGATAAAGAGCACAATTTTAAAAATCTCCGCTCCTCCATTTCCAAAATCCAACAGCTGCTGGTCCCTTTACCACTTAAAAGTCATCCTCTGCCCTCCAATTCGGCTGCGCAGCCCACATTAGAGAAACACCAGGCAAGGGGCGGGGGAGGGGGTAATGGGGAAAACGCCCGGATGCTGAAAGATACCTAATATTTCTTCTCTGTTCCTACTCACTACCTGCGCTAGTTTTAACTACTTAAGCCGGTGTCCAAAACACAGAAAAAACGTCTCAGTCCTGCCTTATCGCGTGCAGGTACCAGATGATTAGAAATCAATACCGGGGGAGGCTGGCTGTCCCCATACATTTCCCGGAGCCTAGAACGATGAGGCAAGAGGGCTGTTGCGCAGAGAACGTGACCTTGTTTTCCAGCCCCGGACTGTCTTGTGCTCCCCTACCCCCCTGTAATGCAAGAAAAGAACAGAATAGCTTCTGAACCTTTTCCTCCCAAGCCCAATGATATGACAGCCAAAGTCAACTTCATTAAAGGAGAACCGGCCAAGGCAGAAATCGACCGGGTTTGCGCAAACCTCACCGCACAGCACAATGTCCCCGCGTTCTTAAAGGTAGCCAATCCACGGCCCTGATCTAACCACTCTCGCACACAGGGGCGCTATTTTGCGCACCTCAACCCACACAGGGTCTCAGTATTGCTGAGACCGTGTGGGTTGCTGAGTCACTGAAGACGGCAGCTCGGCCCCAAAAACGCCGTCAGCCCTCAAGTGGGGTTCGGGCCCCAGGCATAGGTGGTTTTAAAAGCTCCGCAGTCTGGACGTCCACTGGCTTGGGCACTGAAGGGCGTTCAGGATTAACTAATTATCGGCACCTCCCTTCCCCAGAGCCGCCTGGGCGCCCCAGGGAAGCCATCTCGACTCCCAGCCCCCGCCCCCGCGGGCCCTTCCCCTCCCATCCCCCCGCTCCTCTACACTCACGGGGACCCTGTCCGGATATTTCTTCCGGATCTTTTCTCCTTCCTTTTTCCGATACTCAAAGGGATGGTCCTCCTTGTACTGGAACTTCATGATGCACCGCAGGGCTTCCGAGATTCCCCGCGCGGGGCCTGCCTCCTTCGCCGCTGGCCCTGTCCAGCTCCCTCCGCCGACGTCAAGGTGTGTTCAAATAGCTACAGAAACGTCCGCTCCCGGGGCAACAGCGCTGGGCCGAGCGTGCAGAGGGGGTTCGGTGTGGGGAGATCTCGGGTGAGCCTGCCTGGAGATAGAGGAGAGCCAGGTGGAGAAACACCGGCGGCTTTTCGCTGGAGCTGGGAGCACAAAAACAGTTGGGTTGCGCGTCGGGCTGTGACGTCACCCCGCGCGCCCCGCCCCGCCCCCCAGGCGCCAGGCGCGGAGGGCAGGGGGCGGCCGAGTGCTGTCTTAACTGCGTTTCCTTTCTGGCCAACGTTTATCAAAATCGATGTCATTGCAAACATCAAAACATTCTAGTTGTGTTTTATTTTGTGACTGTGAAAGACGGTTTTAAGACAAAAACAATTTTAAACATGTTTTATTCCCCCTCCACTGTTTTTCTTGGTTTGGCCCCAAAACAAATACAAAAGGCGAAAATCCTTTTCCTGCTGGTTGGGATCCAGCCTCAGGGCAAAAGAGGCCCAGGCCTCCTGGGATCCTTTTGGCCAATGCAGAGCTGTCCCGGGCTTGCACCGTGCCCTCTGCGCTTTCCGCTGCCCCTCCCGCGGCCCTCCTCCCCGCGCTGGCGTCACAGTGTTTGGGCCGCGCCGCAGTTCGCTCCTGAACAGCAACATAAACAGAGCGTGACTCAGGAATCTGAAGAGAGGAGTCAGATGAAGGACACGGAGTGTAATCAAGGTCCAAAGGAGACGTGATGTCAGTCAGGACTACGGAGGGCTTCACGTACAATCAAATACAGAAATGATTCACTTTCTAGCCGGACGCGGTGGATCATGCCTGTAATCCCAGCACTTTGGGAGGCCGAGGCAGGGGGATCACCTGAAGTTAGGAGTTCGAGACCAGCCTGACCAACATGGAGAAACCCCGTCTCTACTAAAAATACAAAATTAGCTGGGCGTGGTGGCCCATGCCTGTAATCCCAGCTACTCTGGAGGCTGAGGCAGGAGAATCGCTCTAACCCGGGAGGCGGAGGTTGTGGTGAGCCGAGATCGCGGCATCGCACTCCAGCCTGGGCGACAAGAGCGAAACACCGTCTTAAAGAAAAAGAAAAGAAAGAAAGAAGTGATTCACTTTCTGCCATTAACTCAGAAAGGAGGCTTGTATTCTGGAAAAGAGAGTATCAAGCAATTTAGGTGATGACCTCAATTCTTCCCCCACATCTTATTTAGTTCCAGTGGTTAGGTATCCCTCACGTGGCTGGAAAGCGCTGCCTGGAATGCCAGTGGAAGATTGGGCATTGCGGCAGGTGCGGCGAAGCCTCGTTCTGGCTTTCCCCACCTAGAGTCAAAGAACAAAGACCTTCCAACCAGTACGGTAGGCAGCGACACGGAAGACCGTGGAGATTGCAAAGAAAAAGAATAGTGAAAACGAGCTGCGTTGCCCATACAAGCCGGGTGAGTTCTGAGAAATATTATTAGACAACAGCAGCCCCATGGCCTACCTTCTTCAGTCGGGGTCTCAGTGTCTCTAATTTTAAAAACACCCACAAGGGGACAGGCGCGGTGGCTCACGTCTGTTCTCCCAGCACCTTGGGAGGCCCCGGCCGAGGATCGCTTGAGTTAAGGAGTTCAAGACCAGCTTGGGTAACAGGGCAAAACCCTGTCTCTACAAAAAATACAAAAATTAACCAGTCATGGTGGTGCGCTCCTATAGTCTCAGCTACTGTGGAGGCTGAGGCAGGAGAATCGCTTGAACCCCGGAGGCAGTGGCTGCAGTGAGCTGAGATCGCCCACTGCACTCCAGCCTGGGAGACAGAGCGAGACTCTGTCTCAAAAAGAGTAAGTAAATAAAAATAGGCCGGACGCGTTGACTCAGTCTGTAATCCCAGCACTTTGGGAGGCCGAGGTGGATGGATCACGAGGTCAAGAGATAGAGACCATCCTGGCCAACATGGTGAAATCCCGTCTCTACTAATAATACAAAAAAAAAAAAAAGAAAGAAAGAAAGAAAATTAGCTGAGCGTGGTGGCGCATGCCTGTAGTCCCAGCTACTCCGGAGGCTGAGGGAGGAGAATCGCTTGAACCCGGGGGGCAGAACCAGGGAGGGTTTAGCCATATTTGCATCAAAACTAAAATGAGGCCAGGCGGGGTGGCTCACACCTGCAATCCCAGTACTTTGGGAGGCTGAGGTGGGTGGATCACGAGGTCGGGAGATCGACATCATCCTGGCTAACACAGTGAAACCCCGTCTCTACTGAAAAATACAAAAAAATTAGCCGGACGTGGTGGCGGGCGCCTGTAGTCCCAGCTATTGGGGAGGCTGAGGCAGGAGAATGGTGTGAACTCAGGAGGCGGAGCTTGCAGTGAGCCAAATCACGCTACTGCACTCCATCCTGGGCGACAGAGCGAGACTCCATCTCAGAAAAAAACCAAAACAAACAAAAAAACCTAAAATGAGCAACTGAAAATTAAACTATTTTCAATTTGAAAATAAGACCTAAAAATTATAAACATATAATGTGATACAATAACTCATGGATTTTCTTTATTTATTTGTTTGATACAGAGTTTCTCTCTTGTCCCCCAGGCTGGAGTGCAATGGCTCCATGTAGGCTCTCTGCAACCTCCATCTCCCGGGTTCAAGCACTTTTCTCCTGCCTCATCCTCCTGAGTAGCTGGGATTACAAGGCGCCCGCCATCACGCCCAGCTAATTTTTTTGTATTTTTAGTACAGACGGGCTTTTGCCATGCTAGCCAGGCTGGTCTCGAACTCCTGACCTCAGGTGATTCGCCCATCTCGGCATCCTAAAGTGCTAGGGTTACAGGCGCGAGCCAATGCGCCCTGCCCTCATGGATTTTCATACATAAAGACTGAAAGATGCCATGGAGAAAAATAACATGAAGAAGTGGGACTATATGATTCATTTTCTTGTGCCAGTAATGAAACTTAGTTGCTTTTATTTTGTGGGTGTGTTTTTACATTTTTATTTATTTTTGAGACAGAATCTCGCTCTGTTGCCAGGCTGGAGTGCAGTGGCATGATCTCCGTGGACTGAAACCTCCTCCTCACGGATTCAAGCGATTCTCCTGCCTCAGCCTCCCAAATAGTTGGGACTACAGGCGCACACCACCACCCCAGGCTAATCTTTGTATTTTTAGGTAGAGATGGGGGTTTCACCATGTTGGCCAGGTTGGTCTCGAACTCCTGACCTCAAGTGATCCACCCTCCTCAGCCTCCCAAAGTGCTGGGATTACAGGTGTAATCCAGCCTAAAGAAGTAAATTTTAAATTAACACAATCGAGTAAAATATTTCAAAATGTCTTATTTAACCAAAACCAAAATACTACATTAAAAAGCTCACATTTTCTCAAATATCTTTTCAACGTTTCTTGCACTTTTTTTAATGATTTCAAGGGTTAGAAGTTTTTTCAGTCTTTTATGAACATTTTTAAACATGTAGACAGTTTTGAAAAATAGTATGATAAACACCAATATACCCTTCACCTAGATTTTTTTCCATTTGAAAGTAAATTAGAGGCCAGGCATGGTGGCTCACGCCTGTAATCCCAGCACTTTGGGAGGCCAAGGCGGGCGAATCACGAGGTCAAGAGATCAAGACCATCCTGGCTAACGCTGTGAAACCCCTTCTCTATTAAAAATACAAAAAATTAGCCGGGTGTGGCCGTGGGTGCCTGTTGTCCCAGCTACTGAGGAAGCTGAGGCAAGATAATCGCTTGAACCCAGGAGGCGGAGCTTGCAGTGAGTGGAGATTGTGCCACTGCACTCTAGCCTGGGCGACAGAGCGAGACTCCGTCTCAAAAAAAAAGTAAATTAGAAACATAACACCACCACAATATACAAATTATATCCCCCCTGAGAATAAGAACATGTTCCTCCATAACCACAATGGTTATTACGCCTTAAAAACCACTAATATTTTCCATTATCTAATACAGAGCTTATATTTATATTTCCTCAATTGCCCCAAACATGCTTTTTATCTCCCCCAATCAAGCATTTGAATCTGAAAACAGGTGGAATTTACCATAAAGATAGGTCTGATTTGATTTAGGGTCTCTGTCTGTGTGTGTGTGTGTGTGTGTGTGTGTGTGTATGTGTGTGTGTGGACATGGGGTTTCACTGTTTTGCCCTTTGGCTAATTGCAACCTCCACCTCCTAGGTTCAAGTGATTCTCCTGCCTCAGCCTCCCAAGCAGCTGGGATTGCAGACATGTGCCACCACACCAGCTAATTTTGTATTTTTAGTAGACATGAAGTTTCGCCATGTTGGTCAGGCTGGTCTCGAACCCCCGACCTCAGGTGATCCACCCGCCTTGGCCTCCCAAAGTGCTGGGATTCCACTTTGGGAGGCGCCACTGCACCAGGCCCAGGGTCTCTTATATTATCACTTTTAAATTGATATATGAAACCAGAATTTTAGTGCATTGGTCTCCAATGAGAAATACAATAGCTAGAGGTTTAGTTATTCACAGCCATTTTCAAAATTTGCTTGCTAAACTTGGAATTTAAATAAGGAATTTTATTACTTAATTTGAATTTTTTAGTAAGCTGCCATCCACAAATCAAGTGTCAAACACCACCAGGATGTGCCTGGCTGACTCCAAGACTAGGAAAATATTTCCTGCCCCTGAACTATACATGAGTGGATCTTCCTCCTTAATAATTGTGTGCTCACATTGCTTCATTGCAGCTGCCACTACCTTAGTTTAATCTTCATTTTTTAAAAATTTTGGCTTAGCTCTGATTATCTGTTACTATATAGCAAACCACCTCAAAAGAATGGCTTAAAATAATAGCATCATCTATTTTGCTCACAAATCTGAAGTAATGGGGCTCAGCTTTGGTTTTAGTTAGTGACTGGTGATAGCGTCTTCTTGGAAAGCTTCTTCACTAGCAGTTTTGGTAGTTGGACTGGGAAGACTCAAACAATTGGCGTTCCTCAGCCGCCTCTTTCTTTCTCTGTAGGATCTCACCATGGGTCTCTTCCCTTAGTGTCTGCAAGCTAGCTAGACTTCTTTCATGGTGCCTAGGGGCTCTCTGGGCAAATTTGCCAAAAGAAGTCAGCAGAAAGCACATGGCCTCTTGTAATCTAGTCATTTTAGTTTCAAAGGGACACTTCTGCCTCGTTCTATTTCTCAAGGCAGTCACAAAGTTCTGCTCAGATTCAAAGGAAGGTGCCACAGACTCCACTTCTACCTGGAGGAAGTATTGGAGAATCTGAGAATATGCTTCAAAATCA